GTTAGGCAATCTTCGAGTTCAGGGATGCATCGCCTAATACTAATGAAAATGTCGCTGGTTGTCATTGTTGTACTAGTACTAGTTATTTTTACTTTATTATTAAAAATTTTTATTTATAATATTAATATTATAAATGTCTGCTAATATACACGTGACTATACCCCATCGCGCCACAACATATAAAGAAAATTCCTTTGCTCTGTTCCCCAATTCTGCAATTACCAAGACCTATAAATTGCCTCACTATGAGTCATTCGCCACTCTGAAACACCAATATGTATATATATAGTACACACAAAGTCTATACTTATTTGGGATTAGAGAAGGGAGAAGGGATTGTAATATGATTGCATGCGATAAGTGAATGTGCATAAGTCATATGACCTAATTATGGTTAATAGAGGGTTATTTTAAGATATCGTTATTTCGGTCGGAGTCAGAATATTCCGAAGTATTAGCATAGTGTTAGATCACCGCCAATCACATCGGCCATTCCACCTCGGCTCATGCGTGCCCAGTGCTATCGTGAAAAAGCGGGAAAAAGTCCACAAGGGCGTGAGAGAGTGGGTTATTACAGTACTATGTGCCGAAATGGGAAAGGACGTCATTAATGCATCCCAAAGAATTGTTTTTTATAAGGAGTCTCAAAGGGAGGTTGGCAATAACATAATTGGTGTACCTTATTACAATTAATATTACAATTCCAATTATATAATGATTTGATATATCCTTTTTGTTTTATGGTTTTCTCGTTGTCACTTGTGAGGCGCACAAAATTTTTTGAAACTTTTTTTTTTAAGGGATGACATCTGTGTATATTTTTTGTTATTTAATTGTGGGTCCCTCCTTTTTTGGTACGATTGAGATCGTCAGGTGCTCAGGTCCAAATATTTTACCCAAAACAGATGCAGCAAATCTATGCCGATTACGATTACTTATCAATAATAAAAAAACTGATTATTCATTTTATACAGTTTATATCAGTAATTACATTTTAGATGTCCTAAATTTGAAACGGGAATGTGACAAGGACGAAAAGAAATAAAAAAAAGGAAAGAAAGGAAAGAAAAGAAAGACAGTCATATATGTGGAAGTAGTATATTATTCTTTTGTTTAAGATAAACAAAAAAAAAGAGATTATTGGTAAATAATAAACCATCATGGAGTCTAAATGTAAATGAACTATTAGTATCTGATACTGCATACAATATAATAACATCCAAAACGAAGAATGAGTTAGATAATTGATATGGGGCAACAGACAGAGAGAAGCTCGTCAACTACTATTCAATAAACACTTAATATTCACGTAAATGTAAAGGGTGGGGAAATAATAAAACTCTATATACAAACTAGAACAAAGCACACTCATATGTCTACTATTTCTAATAATATGCCTGTCCTAATTCCCTCTCTTTTTTCAGCCCTGATATTCTTTTTAATTTTATAATCATAAGTACTCAGAGTCAAATAACGAATATAGTTAGAACAATTGAACATAACAAATATCCCTAAGCAATGCAAATAGCAGGAAAATACTATAAAATTGAGACTATCATAGAGTAGTTTAGAAAGCGGGTAAAAGAAAAGAGAAAACAATCTTTAAATGTTTATGAACAACCGACGGCTATATATATATAATGGAAACAGGTGTCGTTAGGTATTTCATTGTTCATATAGATATATCTAAAAGTGGGTAGAATAAAGTGGTATTATTGCGACGGCCTGTTCCATAACGCCAAATCGGTGTAATTACAATTTCAAAAATATAAGCGAGGAAAATAAGAATTTAAAGGGGGGTAAAAAATGTACAAAGAGGTGTGCGTGTGTATATGTGGAGGGGTTATATATTGGGAATTGATGTTGATAGATTGTGGAATGAGGAATGGAGAATGGTGGGAATGGGAATGGAGTGTATGGTCGGAATGAATAGGAAAATGAAGAGAATGGGATAAAATGTTTAATGTTGTTTTATACAAGCGAGATCCACAAGAATTTGTGCGGCCTGAACGTGAAACGTCGAGAGGTAAAGTTGTTATCATTGTTGTCAATGTGTCCGAAAGCCGTACGTCAAATCAAAAATAAAAAGCGTTCGTTAGTACTTTTAACATATTAATACCCTTTTTTTTTCCCTCACGTTCCCTCTCATTCCCTCAACCTGCTCAACTTTCCAGGCCTTAAAGGTTACTGCCGACCTCTCCCAACTTTGTTTACACCCGTCCCTTGTCAAGTTATATATGCTAGACATACCTCCATCATCTGCACCTGCTGGTGTTTAGTCAGGTTAAACTTTAGACACAATTCCCAGCTCTCGTGGTGTTCCCACAAATGCTAGAAAAGGTTATGGGAAGATAGAATGATAAGAAATAAGCGACTCTTGATAATAGTATTGACGTTTTTCTGGTGGTGACGTCGTTACATTGCCAGTCTAGAAAAAACATAGTCGTCGATTAACCTACTTTGACCAAACAGTTCCTATGCTTATACTTCTTCCCACAGTGTTTACAAGTATAGGTAGTCTTTGCGGTTGTAGAAGGAGGGGAGCCATGGTTGGTCGAATGTTGGGGAACGACTACTTGAGAGTGGTCATCTCTCCTGAGAAGCGGCGGGTGGTGAGAATGGTCGACTAATTGCATTGGCTGTTCGACTGTGTTAAAAAGAGAAGAAAAGATACAAGTTTAGTCATTGTCAAAGTGGAAAACGGCAGTGGTAATAGTCATAGTAGTCGCAGTAGAGGGGTAGGTATGCAGTGTGTGTGAGTGTGTGTTGTGCGTGTATCTAATTCTATTTGTCTTTTGGGACAAATGTAATAACTGATATCGATACAGTTCTTTTTGTTCTTTGATGCCTTCCGTTCATCACCCTCTTGGATGTAAATATATTCTTGCTACATTCTCTAGAATAATCTCTTTCTCATGCACTTTTTCTAATCAACTTGTCTGCCGTACCTTTAACTCTCGACATTTGGTCTCCAGCAGCATAAAGTCTTCCATTTTCTACCATCTGTTCTTGATTGTAGCCCATGGAGTCCATTGCTTTTGTCTGCGAATGTGTCTTGTAAGTTTACACTTTTGACGGATTTATATGATTGTGATGTGATTATGATGTAACTGTGATTGTTATGTATGCGATGTGTAGTTGTATCAATGTCTCCGTCGTTCAGGAGGAAAAGAGGTCTGTTTATATAATTTTGATACCAGTAGTCACAAGGAGTTTGAGGTCTAAAACGATTATACGGTGTCACCAAGCGCAGCGAGGCTTCCCGTGTTGTAATAAAGGTATTGGTGAAATACAAATGTATAAATAGTAGTAGTAATGTGCTGCCAGGACCGTACAAGACAATGAGGGAACGATATATGAATGGTTCAGTTGGCAGATAGAATATGTTGTATTGGGATGGGGGATGTGATTGTATGTGATATGGAACGCAATAGAGAGGCTGGGAAAGTTAAAATTGTGCGATGAGAGAGGGGGGAGTGGGGTATAAAAATGTTTTTCTTTTGTGGAAATTTTTTTTAAATAAGTTATGAAGGGACTAATCTAAACAGGAATATATTATTTATTATACTACTTATTAATTATATTATTTATACTACTTACCATTTATTATATCGTCATCATTATTATTTCCTCGGTTTTTTAATTTTATCGCTTATCTGCCCCTATTTCTGTATACCCATGGGATGTTGGGTATGTTGGGCCAGTTGTGGTCATGTGTACATCTGGTCTGGTGATTGGATGTGATGTCAGCAGCATAGTGGATTTTTTGGTGTTTTGTTTGTTCGAGTTGGGCACAGGGCAGCACAGGCTGCTACTTGAATGATTTACAATTGGTGAGATTATTTTTAATGTCTGATGGCATTAATCCAAATGATACAGTGAGCATCTATTCCAATTCGGGACCTCACACGCATAAAAAATATTAACGAATTGAAAGAGCATCTTGCTTGTAATATATAATACGTACATATTATATACAATCAGTCTTGGTAACAACAAATTCTACGCATATTGTGTGTTATATTGTTGCTTGTATCACAACTCGCCAGAATTGTAGTTCCCCAATCCAACATTTTATTAGTAAATGGCCACCAACACTACAAATGGCATAGTCAATCCCCATTGCTCGGCTCAAACATGTTCTCTGCTCGACAAATCCTGTTTCCCACACACAATGAAACAGAATAGAATCGAACCAGATGGAAGAATTATGATATCATAAAGCACGTCAACACCCCCCCATATTTAACTTCTTTATCAATAACGTCATATCTGCTGCAAAAATGGTGGATAACGAATGCATGTGGCCAGAACAAAAAGATTGATTGAAAAATTTTGTGTGATTCCAGAATCCTAATTTTTTTCTCCCCATTATTCTGTCAAAGACTTAAATGAGTGTCCGCCGTAATATAACAGGTCACGGGCCAAATGATCTTTGTTTACCCAATGTTCTCACCGGACATTGGCTCGTGTTCGTTCCAAAGCTGGTATTTAACACCTTATTTGTAAAACGGACGCAGTAATCTATCGTGAACATATCCGAGAGCGGAGAAAATCCTTACGCCATTCTGGTGATTTCTTTGGTCAATCACGTGAACTTATTACTTTTCATGAGTCATTATCAGAGCGACCATCTACTCTAGACTCGGTAACACTAGTTAAGATAAATGGCGCCACGATCTTTTAAAATATGACAGGGAGGATGAATGTTTTACATGGAAGGGCAACGACGCAAAAAGAATAAGCATAGATTTCTGATGAGAGCAAAAGCTGGCCACATTCTTCCCGCTCGGGTATATTAATTGCCTAATGCGAGCATTCTCTGCTTTTATACTGCTCTCGACAGGCCAAAATCAAGACAAAAGTTTCTGGTCGTCAGTAAGTTTAACCAGGCTTGCAAAAACTTTAATTATAAGTAAAAATTAAATAATTACACTGTAATCGCGTGATATACTTTCTGACAAAATCACGTGAACGTTAAACCTGACAATATTCTTTTTCTAAAGCTTACTAACAATCTTTCTAGGTCTTTTCTCGGCATTCTTTCTAACTTCATCCGCTCTCTTAAGTTCTAGTTTTCCAACCTGTTGAATGTGGACTTCATCAGGGCCATCAGCAAATCTCAGCGTACGTGCAGCAGCATACATTGCAGCAAGCGGAAAGTCTTCAGACACGCCTCCAGCTCCGTGAGCTTGTATCGACCGATCTAGTACATTTAAAAGAACTGCTGGAGCAACGATCTAAAAAGACAAAGGCTACGTACGGTGAATACGCATCGACTTGTGGAGTGATAGAAAAACTGATTTTAATAATATAGTACGAAAAGACATGATATTATCACCTTGACCATCCCAATCTCCTTCATGGCTCCTTTAGCCCCTTTCTTGTCAATCATATGAGCAGCATTGAGAACAAAAAGTCGTGCTTGGTCGATTTCTATACGCATACGGGCAATATCAGCAACTATAGTCCCATGTTGGGCGAGCAGTTTACCAAACGTTTTACGAGACGGATCTGTTACTCGTAATAACATCAGATCGAGAGCCCTTTCGCTTGCCCCGATACTTCGCATGCTAGTGGGACGCCATAATTGGGGCGGGGGGGGGGGGGGGGGAAGGTTCAGTTCAGACGGTAAATCTCAACTTCATTGTTCGTATCAAACACAATCCACTTGAATTACCAATGATGAATTCTTCCGGGTCCCAAACGTCCTTGAATAACCTCAAATCCTCGTCCTTCGCCAAGAATGATATTCTCTTTCGGGACTCGTACATTTCTGAAAATAATCTCACAATGCCCCTCTGGCGCATCATCGTATCCAAAAATCGTCAATGGCCTAACAATAGTTATCCCTTCCGCGTCAGCCGGAACTATCACTATGCTCTGTTGCCGATGCTTTTGTTTGTTATTCGGATCTGACTTTCCCATCAATAGGAACACCTTACATCTCGGATCACCAGAACCAGAGATCCACCATTTGTGTCCATTGATGATGTAATGGTCACCATCACGAACTATCGACGTTGAAATGTTTGTGGCGTCAGAAGAAGCAACAGCCTTTTCGGTCATTGCGAAAGCAGACCTAATTTTGCCTTCGAGAAGTGGAGTTAACCATCGGGCTTTTTGTTCCGGAGTACCATACTTTGCAAAGACTTCCATGTTGCCGGTATCTGGAGCTGAACAATTTATGGCCTTTTTAGAAAAAGAGTAATGATTTGTGTGAGGGGAAAAAAAGTGGGCATTGAATATAATGGGGAATGAGCAATCTGTTGTTCCTGCATACCTCTGGCGCAAGACGCAAACATTTGCCTGTGATCTCTGCCATCAAACCATATTCTAAATTTGTAAGGCCAGCGCCCTCTTTGTAGTCTCTTGATAAAAATAAATTCCATAAACCCAATTTTCGAGCTTTCTTTTTGAGTTCTTCAATTACGTTTGGAACAACCTAAAGCGAGAAAATCCGATAATGGTTAGACGTTCAACCGGACTTGGTAATTTTTATTACAGTAAAGTTTAGATTTCATATAAATCGCGCTTTCAACAAAAAAAACTATATAAAACGACATATCATGTAACCCAAACTTGCCTTCCATCGGTCTTCTCCTTTTCCCAATTGAGCATGGAAGATAAGTTCTGAAGGAATACATTCATTCTAAAAGATATCATGGTTATTTACTGACAAGACAAAATCCTGTTGCTTGAGACTGTAGGCTTTGATTTTTTCCTAAACAAATCAAGTACCTCGACAAAGTCGTCAAGAAGCTCGATTAACTTCTTGGCTCGATCAGAAACAAGTGGTTCGACTAACAATGGAATCTTATAAACCATGTTTTCTTGTTGTTGGTGGTATCGGGGGAATGTGGGAAAATGGAAAAAGACTGGTTACATCATGAGCGATGTGAATGTGCCGATGTTTGGAAATTCTTTTTCTTCATAGGCTATCGAATGAACATTCGTTACCATATTGAAAAATCTCCGTGTTGATCAGTGTTATTTCACGTTGTCTGGACACGTTATAGTAAAGCACACTATAAAAGTGTATCAGGATCGATGAAACGTGTTCATTTTATCTCGTCCCTACGGACAAGCCTTAATTATTACAAAAAATTAAAAAATCTCCTTACAATAGCTCATTCGCCACTCTGTTTCATATGCCCATTAGTAATCTCCATTTTCTCGAAGACCCCTCAAACTTGTCTTCTTGCGAACAGGTACGTGGGATATGAGACATAAGCATATTTAACATTCATAATCTGTATGACTGTCTCGCTGGGAAAAAACCGATCTGTGGAATCCAAATCGGATTTGCTCTGTGTTACTACTACCAATGTTGATAGCATTCGCTTCTTACAAGACGCTTCTTCGATGGTGATTTCTTCTATATTAATATGAGCGATAAACATGGAGAAAAAGACAAAAAAAAATAAAAAGTAATTCAAAGCGAAATTCCTTTTGAAGGAAAGTTAGCATTCACTTTTCCGAACGTTTTCTAATCTTGTAAATCTCTATCCTCGTCTCAATAATAATGATGATAATGCATTGCGAGTAAACTCATTATGTAAGCATCGAAGGGAGATGACATTACAATAAATTTTAGTTCGATCAATCCGGTATGTTCGTGTTCTTGTGAATGGTTTAATACTTCCTATATGTCCAGACGTATGTTAAATCAGTTTGCTTGCTGAATTTCATAAGGAATGAAGTCATTTTTGCAATTTGCAAATAAGTTACGTGCTGAACGTGTACTTACCAATTGTGTAAATAGTTCTACACTATAATCTTACTAATGATTTACCTTTCTTATTGGTTGACTGAGAAACACCTTGACATTAAAGAGTCTTGTAAATTTTAGCACGAACAAACTTCCTGGGTTTATAATTATTGTTCGACTAGCTTTATGTTTATTCGATGAATGAAGTTTTTGACACTAATCAACATAACAAAATAAAATGTACATATATTATGTGTGCTAATATCTAGTAATATTAGTATTGCTTATTTGTTATGGAAATAGGTTTTGAAGTTAAGTACGTAATGGGAGCGTATCGAACAATGCTGTATATCGAAAACTTATTAGCCAGCGCAAGTTTTAATATATTATTGATTGGATAAATCTATTATAGAGAACAACGGCAGTTTAAAAAAGAAACCACTCAAAGCTAGAATTTAGCCAAATTTACTTGTGAAAGTTTTAAATATTAACCATAGTATTGCTGTAGATACCATTCGATACAACTTTACAACCAATAAATACAATTAAGCGTTCTATATCTTTGAATCTGTTCGGTGGTTGCGTGAAATATCCAATGACAGTAAAAAGATGTATTATGAGACTATTGAAGGGTTTGTTTTTAATGCTTGAAGCCTTTCTTCTCGCTTAGTATTTGCCTCGTCGTACTGTATTTTTATCATGACGTAATAATAATGGTGTGGCATTACCAGATCATTCTGGAAATCATTTCCTTTTGTATGGAATTCTTCCCATTGTTATGTTAAGCCGTCGATCTGGGAATATCATAGAATTTCATCATACGATTTTGCATCATACGATTTCCACGGCTAGAAGATTCTAGAGCGTGGAAATATCAATATATATACAACAGCAATTCGAACAAAAAACAAAATCAGATTGCAATTAATTACTGCAAAATTACTACAACCAAAAAACTCTACAACAACCAAAACCACAAAATGTCAATCATCGGATTCGACGACCGTCTGGAGCATCAAGTTAACCGTCTTTTCGACGACTTTGTCAGAGATCTTGGAGTGACAAGACGCGGGGAAACAACCAGACGCCCTAACAATGATCGACAGAAATGGGCTCCACTCGTTGACGTTCACGAAAGGGATAAGGATTATATTGTGACCGCCGAGCTGCCGGTAAGTCATTTGCTCGATGGTTTTTAACTATTCAGCCATTGTTGCAACGTCTCACGGTTTTTCAATCACATAGGGTGTTAAAAAAGATCAAATCAATTTGGACGTGCGTGAAAATACTCTGGTGATATCTGGCGAGACCAAAAAGGACCAACAGTACAATGAAGGCAATACTCATATTAGAGAACGTCGTTGGGGCAGTTTCTCACGTTCAATCAGCCTGCCGAATAACGTAAAGTCTGCAGAAATCAGTGCGAAGTTTAATGACGGTGTCTTGGAAGTAACGCTTCCAAAAATTGAAGCCGTCCAACCGAAGAAGATTACTATTGACTGAGCGGCGAGTTGGAGAAAGTTATATTATTTAGGTCATGTTATAATGTTGTTTATTGTTGTAAAGTTGTTTAATATGTTGAAAAACATGTTATAACTGAGTTAGGTAATTGTCAATAAAATTGTGTTTATATGAGCATCAATTACGTGGTTGATAAACGTGTCGTTTTGAATACTTTGTTCGTGAGTTGTAGCAAAGTGTCGTATGTGCGTAATAGGGCAAAGGTTGTTGCGTTGTGCACATCATTATGCCGCGCGATCATTTGCATTCTGTAAAATTACTCATTGGTTAGAAAAGTGTAGATATGAATTTTTGGCATGGGTCTGATATATCTCCAAGTTGATAAATAACTTTTGTGTACCAAATGGCAATTTTACTTTATCTTGAGTTTCCGGAATGAACACAGGCCCGGAAACTCCTTGTCATGTGAATAGACCCTTTTTGGTTACCGATAGTAGAGTTTTTTGCTTTGCCAAGAATGAGCGAGGAACCAGTCACGGTAACAGAGAGTCCACATGTCACAACACACGAGCTTTCTTCAGCAGCTAATCCTGCCGAGAATTCGCCCACGACGCCCAAAGTTACAAAGACTTCACCAAAACCATTAAGACGTATTCCCGTCGGGACTAGACTTGAGGTAGGATTAGTGTCTCAAACTCTACGTAACCAGATCTAAAAGTTTTCACATTGCCTTAACATTGCTAATGTTATGTTGCAGGACGTATACCCACATGTACCTATTTCGCTTGACGACATAGATTCGGCTTTTGCTTTACAAGAGTATCTACAATCCCTGATAAGAACAGACAAGGAAAACTTGGATCTTCTTGTAAACGTGCCGGAAGGGCAGGATGCAGACGCATGGCAATACGAGCATTTAAGGTAGGTAAATAGTTAATGGTGTGAGTGTCGCCTGCTCTCTAATATCTTTTTTTTGAAGCGATTAGTTACGTTTCTTGCGTGCTGACATTTTACGCTCTATTACATCTAACTGATTACGAATATTATAGACAACTCTGTCTTGAACTCGGATATCTTGTCGTACAGTTATTGTCTGAATGCACTAGGGAAACATGTCGAGAAATGAAAACGACTGAATTTCAATATCTATGCGCAACACATCCAAAGTCTTCCGTATGTAAGAAAACATTGAATTAGTCAGACTTGGGGGATAAAAATCGACCCACTTTTTTTTGCTTTCTGCATTTTCTTAAAGAAAAGGCTAACTCCTTTCCATATGTATTTTGGTGAGAGCAGTGTTCTGCAATGGATTATATCGTGCATACTTTGGATCAATCAATAAGCTCACTGAATGACCCCAGATTATTTCCAAGCAGGTATTTCAAGCTTTTCATTAATAATCAGATTGCTCAACTTACTAATTGATATGTTTATAGAATGTCTATCCCGGCCACCTCGCTAAAAAACTATCAAGAAATCTCGCGAAGGTTATATCGGATATTTGCTCATGCTTACTTCCATCATAGGGAAATCTTCGAAGCATTCGAGGTAAACCGAATTATAGCTTCTGTATTATTATTTTTTTATCATTGATTAAGATTAATTTTCCAATAGATTGAAACATTTTTATATGCGAGATTCCTTAAACTATCGACTCGATATAAACTCGTATCGAAAGATCTCATAATCATACCAGAACAAACCGAATCAAATGGCGACGACGGTCGCAACAGATATAGAGAAGAGAACAATAGGCCTGAAAATGACAGCCAGAGTTGAATACAACGCAATAGCAAAGAGTCAATGGCTACTTCTAATATTGTTCATAATGCCATCGAGTTTAAATCTGATATTTGTATTAGAACGATAATGGCTGAGGCAGCCTGCTAGCTTATCATCGAACATACCAAGTCAGATCAAATAATCTAAGAGGTCTCCGCTACACAACCGGATTCTAGGAGAGCCTACAACACTGCCGAATTTTTCCTTGTTTCCAGTTTTATAACCATTGTCCAGTCTTTGAGTGTAATGTAAAAAGTATACGAATCGGCAAGGATATGAAAGACAATGAGTGACTAATTAAATCAATAATGCGAGCTCGGGTAACGCGTTTGTAAACAGGAGTTCGCATTATCGGAATAAATATCTATATACATCCTGTCACAGTCTGATTATCGCGTCATTTTCCTTTAATGGCGAGCTCAATTTCTTCCTGAGTGAGCGTCTCGTGAATTACCAAAGCCTCGGCTAAGCGTTGAAGTTCGTCTTTGTGCGTTTTAAGGACGTTTGCTGCACGTTGTTGGGCACTCTGTAGAAAACGACAACACGTTATTGCATACCATCAATCGTTTCCAAAACAGCAATGACTCGATCTTACCTCTACCAGTGACCTTATCTCGCTTTCGATTACAAGTTTTGTCTGGGCGCTAAGTTGGTACATGTCTTCATCTTGATGAGCAACAGGACCAACCTTATCAAGACAATGAAATATCGCAATTATTTCGTTGTGAATTTTAACAGAGTATAGTGTTTATGCCGGTGTTTCCGTATCAACTATTGTCAGTTAAAGTAACATACCTTATCACTCATACCAAATTGAGTAACCATTTGTTTGGCTATCTTTGTAGCCTGCACAATATCATTATGTGCACCCGATGTCACGTTGTCTTTCCCGTACACTAACTCTTCAGCCACTCTTCCGCCCATGCAAACATCGAGCTGGGCGAGATATTCTTTCTTTGTGAATGAGTCTTTATCCATTTCTGGTAATTGTATCGTCTGGGAAAAGTCGATTGTTATTTTGAGACAACTTGACTATTTCTAAACTCAGTATATAAATATAGCTCACATACCATTCCCAAAGAAGCTCCCCGTGGCATTATCGTTGCTTTATGCAAAGGCATGGCTCCGGGAGTATATAATGCAACAAGAGCATGCCCGCCCTCATGATAAGCAGTCACTTTTTTGCTTTCTTCCGTTATATAGGCTGACCTTCGTTCAGCTCCCATGAGGATCTTATCTTTGGCAAACTCCATATGTTTCATTGATACCTCCCGACAACCATCACGCGATGCTTGTATAGCGGCGTGGTTGACGAGGTTGGCCAAGTCTGCGCCCGAGAATCCCGGAGTGCCTCTTGCTATAACGCTGATATCCACATCTTGGGTTTGGATCAATTGAGTACAAAATTAGCGGCGAATAATGTATTATTGGTTTTCATTGCAATCACACAAGACTGTAGGCAGTCCCATGCATACCACTTCCAACTTGCACGTTCTTCAAATGATGTCGTATTATCTGCATACGTCCTCGTACGTCAGGTAAAGGTACTGCAACGTGTCTGTCAAAGCGTCCCGGGCGAACAAGAGCTTTATCAAGTAATTCGGGAAAGTTCGTCGCTGCAATAAAGATCACCCCTTCTGTTTGTGAAAATCCATCCAGATCCACCAGAAGTTGATTTAAAGTTTGTTTCATGTATATCTGGTCTTTAGGGTTTCGCTTTGAGCCTATGGCATCTAGCTCATCAATAAAGACTATACTGGGTGCCTTTCGCTTCGCAGCGGCTATTACAATAAACGTTAGATTATATTTTTCATCTATCATGCGCATATATCCATTTGCATATTCATGTAGACCTACCAAACAGTTCACGAACTCGTCGAGCGCCGACACCGACATACATTTCATCAAACTCTGACCCAGACATGAAGAAGAACGGTACTCCAGCTTCTCCAGCAACTGCTCTCGCAAGCAGCGTCTTTCCTGTACCAGGCGGTCCTGTCAGCAACACACCCTTTGGCAATCTTCCACCCAAATGAGTAAATTTTGAAGGGTCTTTTAAAAACTCAACCAGTTCTTCAAGCTCCTCTTTTGCCTCGTCAACACCATGAACATCGGAGAATTTGACCACCTGTTGAGAAGATGGCTCGTATTCTGATTGAGATGCGCCTGTTTTCAATAAGCCGGAGTTTTCGAGAGCAAGGCTCAGGAAAGTAAGGATGCAGAAAGCGTACGTGAATGTAATGCCCATCCACCGGAGTGCGCGCCAAAACATATATCCGCGGGCTAGTATACGTTAGCTTTATGTTAAGCGTTCAGGGATAAAGAGTGGATGAGAAGGGAAACCACCAACCTTCTTCAACAACTACATATATCGGATTGTCTTTAGCACCAGATGTGGTAGAGGTAACGCCGTTACTTACTGTGATCTTCTTTCCTTGTCCATTAACTATGGACTGAACTAAATCGGGCGCAGAGATTGTTTTATTGCCTGTTTACATATACGTCATAAATATTAAATTTACGAGACTAATCAAAAGACTTTTGAATATATATTAACCTCCAACCGCGTTCGCTCGCTCGAGTTTCTGGAGAAATTTTGGTAGTATCTTGTCAGCTTGATCTGTTCGAGCCAGCGCAGTCACATACGCTTGGAAGCATTCTTCATCTTCAGCATACTTTCCGCGCTCAAACCTGCTTATGACTGCATGAGGATTATTTGCTCGCAATGACTCCTAATACCAAGATGTATTCATAAGACTGTCATCAGTAATCATTGTGGCATTATCAAGTTGAAAATGAGTTCACGTCACCTTGTAGAATTCAGCTTGTTTTGCGGCATCGTTCGGATACGCATTTGCTTCCGCCTCTAATTGCGGCAGTCTTCGATAACTAGTAATTCGATATGCACTACTACTGGTTACGTAAGATCTTCGGTCTAAAATCCGACTAAAATTCGATACTGTTGGAGGTAAAGAACAATAAGCTGAGTGATCAGAAAACAAATAATATTATAAAATCGCATTAGATAGTAACCGTTTTCATTATTATTAACGAACAGCCGTAGCCTTGTTGCGTTCCTAAATATTGATAAATTTCTCTTTGTGAAAACTGGTGCCAATGACGAATAATTTCCTACAAGTAGTAATTTATTGGTTAATGTCATTTAATAACGAAAAAATTCAATAACCTGGCTAATAAAGAATACCTGATACTCGTGATATTATATCCTCGACATTACAGTGCTGTAACGATGGACTTTGCTTCAACACGTCCTTTGCATCCTCTATGGTTATAAATGGTAGCGAATAAAGCCTTTTAGCCTGGCGAATGCACTCTGGTAGTTCCTGCTTGAGTGTAATAAATACAACGGTTTGAAAGTTTAGAGGCTACACCGGATCGAATCAGAACAGATTCGATTCCAAGATTTACCTTAATCACAGATCTTGTAGCAGAAACTAAAGGAATAGGCTGTTTTTTATTACGGGTAGCGACTGAAGGAAGTTTTGAAGACTGTAACAATAAAGAAGTCTCTGCCAACACCGCGGTGAACTGACGAAAATGAAGCAATCGTACAAAGTTAACACGTAGCCTTTATGCAGCAATCTGATTACAAAGATTCGCACCTGCTGAGATAAAGGAATAGTACACTGTGATTGCATTGAAACTGTGACGGCGCGCGTAAAGATCTGGCCAATTCCGCACCAGACGAATTAAATAGTTGTTTCTGGGAAAATGAATGAACATCCCACAATATAGTGGCTGTTCTATTTGTGTCACGGTGCTCGGAGCCAATGGTCTAAGAGAACAAGACGATGTTCAAAACCAAACCAGAAATATAAGTTCCACAACAAAAGTATCGACAAGAGGAGCAACGATGCCATCTTCTTCACCCGAATAAATATGGACTACGTGCTTTCTAATATGAGCCATTGATTGAGAAATTTACCTTTGCGGAAATTCCTAATAATACTAAGGCTTTCAAATGAGTATCTATATTTCCATTCGGCATCTTTTTGTTTTCATGCTGCAATTTCTAACCTCTTTATCTCTTGCGCTTTGGTAATCCTTACCACTGATTTTACTATAATTTATTATTGCCTTATTTCTATTATCACCTTTAATTTTCAAGCATTTTATCTTTAATTCTAATTCTTCAGCCATTTTATAATAATAAGAATCTTGCAATAACTTTGGACTTACATTTGATGCTTTTTTAGGTCTTGTCTTTAGTCATTATGCAGTTTCTATAAAATCAGGAGAATACTCCACTCTTATTCTTCAGTTTTCAGATGTTTAACTATTCAATGACTGACCTTCTTTGTCTTGAACATTTGATCTTTCCAGATTATTCAATCTATTACTATGCCCATTTCTTTTATAATCTTATAAAAATAAACACATACTAATATTTGTGCAAATAAAGTGAAAATTTACATATAATGCAATAGTTGGTATACAAAAATAAATAAATATATAATTCGTGGCAATGAATATACATTACATGTGAAAATGATACGTCATCGATTCCGTAGATGAAAATATGACTGCTCATAGAAACAGAAAGATTAAAAATAATCCTATTACAAAGCCTTTATTTAGTGGTGAGTTAATTGATTATGACAATTTAAAAATTTTTAGGAAGCTACGATGAATTAAGTCATAACGAAAAGCATACAATGAAATCGAGTCATGACAGCGTACAAGGAAATTGAGCCGTACTTGCACGACTGATGAAAATAGTAGACGCGATTATTATGTAAAGATTCCATCGTCAAAGGATGTGTTGAAAAGCTGACAAGTTCATGTGCCATTCACGTATACAATTCGGATGTCAAACATTCATATCAAATAAAACACTGTGATCAGTAAAATATATATTATTCATGTCTACCCAGAAATTAAAATACACCCGTTCAAAGCAAAATTCGAAAACGGTTCCAATTGACGATCGAAGTAATACTGTTAGGAATTAAATCAGTGGTATAGCTTCTCTCTTCGATCATAAGTTGCTAGCAGCAGGGAAATAGGAAATAACAAATAGATAAATTAATTATAATGTGGGTCTTTCCTGCTATTAGCATAGTAACCAATCCACTAATTAAGTCTTCTTTTAAGCATTGTAGTAGTTCTACAGGACGGGAAAGAAAGGGTGCACTTTTAATTAGTGCATGCATATTTTAGGTTAGTCTTATCAGGGTCTTTCCTTAAAACTCTCACTTGTTTTCTAACTTTTTATTACCGTCTGTACTAGAAGTAGCTACGTCTACGCCTTCTTTCTCGAAACTCTTTCAAACTCTGGGAAAAGGTTTCCTTTTATCATTAAATAAGTTTGATAAAAAAAATCATATTAATATTACATGTAAATAAGACTGTTTGGAGTATTGACATCCACGAGAATTAATGCTCATCGATTCCTCATTAGCACCAGTTTTACCGTTTCTCGGGAGAAAATTAGTGTTCTCTTTTGCATAACTCTTTTATAAGAAGAGCGGGGGTTTTTTTGTTCTGTTCTCATTAAATTCCATGCTTTTATGTTCTTTCTGTTTCGCCATATTTTATTTAATGCTTTTTTGCTCGTATGATTATCACTCTCTTTCAATATATTTACTATTGCAACTTTCTTACCGATTAAATATCGTCGGAAAGGCGAAAAGAAGGAGCCTGGCACAAGCTCCTTGTGAACAGCAGCTGTGTAATGGAAGATGCTAAGGTCACTCTTTAATTCTTTAAAAACCTGCTCCGACACAAACTCTACCGGAAAAGAAATATAACCCAAAGCACATGAATAGATCACACTTTTCCCCAGGAGATGTTTTACTTACGATAGTAGGAACTATTGAGAGAGCCCCCTTATTATTATTATAAATCTGAATAATAGCCAACAAAATACCGAAATTGAAATTAATTAATTTTTCGATTTTTTTATTTTCAATCGACTTTTCCCAAACCCCGCAAAAAGTACGCAAAAAGAAATGAATGAAAGAAATAAGAGAAGTGAGCCATGATCTCTTTTATTCTAACGGGGTTCAAATAATATCCGAGAGATCGGAGTGCACTTGGCGGAACACGTAGTCATCCGCATCGGCCAACATCACTTTGTGTCGCACCCTACCATTACAAAGTGTCTGGTGGTGCACTTTCGTATGCCTAACCTCAATATCCATTCTCGGCACTGCTATTGGGCATACCGCATTTAGCACAATGAGTTCTCTTCGCAAAATTATGATATCCACACATTTCGCCCCGACATAACCAGTCACCAGGCTTCATATTTGCAGTATTGGCGGCGTTACTCGCAACTTGTGGAGGTTTCGACAGATTGCACCTGAGACACTGAAACCGTGACGCGAAATTATGAGAGTTGCACGACGGGCAATACCAATCACCCGGACGAAACGGTGCTGCTGCTGGTGCTGTTGGCATATGTCCTGCGCTCGCTCCGTATCCTCCTTGATCCCCGGTTGGATTTCCATAAGCATCATATCCCATATTCGCAGTACCACATTTCATACAATGAGTCCTGGAAGCAAAGTTCTGGAAAAGGCAGCTGGGATTCGGACACATCCAATCACCAGGGCGAAACGGTACGTTTGACGAAGGATGTGTGTACATATTGTGTGGTTTATAAGTACAGCATTTCAAACAATGTGTTCGAGATGCATAATTATGAAAATTGCACATGGGATTTGGACACATCCAGTCACCTATTGTGAAATTTGGCGGTGTCGCTTGCACCACAGATGGATTGGGGTTAATTATATTGCATTTAAAGCAACTCCGACGTGAAGCGAAATTGTGGAATTGACACGCAGGACAAACCCAATCACCCGGACGAACACGATTTTTTGTCGTCTACAACCCGTATCATCCAAAATTTAGGTACATAATATAAAAACTTATCAGTATTCCTATCCTTAAATTAAGTTTATGGTAATAATGGTTGAAGTGTTATAATCTAAAACTCAAACTTATATAAAGTTGCTACTTTGGAATGTTTCAATATTACTCGCAAGAACCTACCGGAAATGGTGCCAAAATCGTACCAGCAACCTCAATCACACGCTCGCTGCTTGGACTTACTTCGATCGCTCTATCCCCGAGCGTTCTTCCGTTCATTTCCAAACAGGCCATAGCGTCTTCATGAGTTGCAAAAATCCCAAACCCTGTGCCGCTTGGTTTCTGATGGTCCGGAGTTCGAATCATCCATAAAGTAGTGGGTCGGACCCCTTGACCCGAAAACCAAGCCTCCAATTCATGCTGAGTCACGTCGTGTGGTAAACCTGCCAAATGGATTACCTTCGATTGTTCTTTTTTAAATTGGTTTAAATCTGCATTTGTGTCGATAGGATTTACAAAGACATCGTGGTGACCGAAAGAACAGAAATATCGGATAATGTTGACCATTGTAAGAGAATCGTTAAGCCCAGAGTGTTGTGGACCCACTATTTGCAGATCAAACGATCCACACATCTCACCCAAAGACTGGCTTTTTAATACGACATCTGGATGATGTACTTGCCATCTTTGATATTCTTGTTTCAGGTCGAACATTCGACAATGAGCTAAGTAAGGCGGCAGCTCTATGTGTTTATCACGTGCTTCTCGAGGTAATTGAATTCTTAAATCCCAAGCCCCATGTGTACAAAAGCAGAAGTTTTTCCCCTGAGAAATAATATAAGACTGGATGTAGTTATCCAAAGCAATTATCGCGTCTTTCAGAGTTCCCGCATTCTCAAGTTTATCCCACGTAATATTTGTAAGCTGCGTGCAAAAGGGTGTCAAAGTAGTATTTTCTGGTTTGACATATTGTGAATGCTGATACACCTACAAGGTAGAGCAATCGTTGGATGAGCATCCTAGTCAACGCGTTGGCACAAAAAATCCTCATATACGCGTTCATTCGCAGCCACAATCCGGCATGCGTGATTTCAAGTTTAGCTCGGTTTCTAACAACCAGGATATAAGATAGTATTATAAACACGGAAGCATATTACTTATACGAACCACTTCCAATGTACTAGTATCGACGACAACCCAAGCAAACTCTATAATTTCTGCCGTCTCCTAATTGTTGTACAAGCGAAAGCGATTTACAAGCAAAATCCAGTCATATGTTTTCTCGTTAGAGATACATCAAAAACCTCTCGTTAAGAAGCAGAACAAAAGATAATCAGGATTCGGTTCGAGAACACGCCCAGTACCGAAACCCAAAACAAGAGTACCCTGACAGATATGCGACAGAGAATCTTCCTTAGATAAATACCTTGGTAACCTGCAAGGCCTGGGGGTTTGGATTTTCGTCGCAGGTAGCTTCGAAATCAATGACTATTAAAACCTGTCGAATTTTCAATGCCCGGCAGGTTGAGCAGAGAAAGTCTGGAAGTCAGCCTAATTGATTTGCACATTTTAGTCAAAAGTTTTGCATGTAAGTCTAGAAAGCTTGCCTCTATTCCGGGACAATGCGATGCAGTCATTCTGTTCTTATAACTCGCATACTAAGAGAACCTCTCCTATGAGAAGTATTAAAGTGCAGGTTGGGATATCAGTTTATAAATCGTTCACCAATTTTTCGACGTCAAACTCCTAACCAATAGAATTATCGATTACGTCATCTTATGCGTAACCAGGGCTGATTTTGAAACTTCCGACGCGGCGAGAAAACTCCACAATGTTTCTGATGGAATTAGTAACGATATCGTTGATTAGCGGGGGAAGGAGGCTGTTTTAACACTTGTAGATTTATCCAGGACAACGTCAAGCCAAAACAACATTGTTGCTCCTTGCGCTAAGTTTAGTTGCATTCGTGGAAATTTGACTTTCGGGGTCGAACATAAAGTTTTTGTCGGAGTATTTTGAGAGGGCGAAACGATGCGAAATTCAGCACATATACCAACCATTTGTTTTGGATGATATAGAGACTTCACGCTCAATATGGGCGATCAGACTCGATTCTAATGTTATCTGACAATCGCTGAAACGATTATAGGACGGACCTCGCAGCATAGGCCAATTTTGGATAATAAGCCAAGTTAGAATGGATTGGCGACATGGATTGGCGACATTTTCTGTAGTTCATTCACGTGTGAAGCAGAAAGCTACTGATTTTTTATGTGATCGTTTGTAAAGTTATCCTAGTCCAATTATCTTATACACCTGCTTGATGGTGCCCTGGGCAATTTCATTAGCCCGGTGGGCACCGTCCTCTAGTACTTGCTCGACATAATTCTTCTCGCTCTTTAGTCTCTCGTATGTCTTCTGTATCGGATGAAGCTCGTGGATTAATGCATCCGCTACAACGGTCTTGAATGTACTTATATCACTGTTTTTATATTCTTCGACTACTTGCTCTACTGGCAAATTAGTAATTGCCGAGTATATGGTCACTAAATTGGATATTGCAGGGCGTAACTCAGGGTCGTAAGTGATCCCTCTGATGGAATCAGTTGTACTTTTTTTGATTTTAGACGCGATCAAAGTAGGAGAGTCATTCAAATTAATACGAGCAGAGTCTGATGGATCTGATTTAGACATTTTTTGGGTTGGATGGCGAAGCGACAGTATCCTTTTTGCAGGTGCTTTGTCGTGAGAATTCCGCAGGAGTGGCCATAAATATATAAATACGTGTTAATCTGGTGAGCATATCGGATGCTATAAAGTACTAATATTCTCACTTACTAAATAGAAGTTGTGGTAACGGAAATATTTCCTCAAACTGATTGTTGAACTTGTGTGCAATGTCTCTTGCCAACTCTATGTGTGGGACCTGGTCATCCCCAACCGGAACTTGTGTTGCTCTGTGATAGAGACGGTGGTTTTTCCAACTTTCGAACAGTCGCCCGTAATTATCACTATGATATATACTTACTTATATAGTAATACGTCAGCCGCTTGTAGTATGGGGTATGCTAATAGTCCTAGGCATAATCCAGATGATACGCCTATATCTTCTATCGATTGTATATTCTTGTGCTGAGCGATTTTTGCCTACGTGCATGAGGCAGAGAAAGCGTTGTTAGCTCAGTAAAGATAACGTTCAGATCACGCAAGTGACATGGACTACCTTCCATTGAGTCATCCTTGATAGCTGGCCGACTGGAGCAATACAATTCAATACCCAATATAATTCTGTATGTGTCGTGACCTATTCACAAATAAACGTTTGATTATACTTGTACCGATTACTCAGCTCGCATATCCCCAGAACTTACTTTTGACTGCACAAAGATCACACTTCTTTTTGGGTCAATTCCACATGCCATCAATATTACTGCCATCTCTCTCTTATTATGAAACAATTTGACGGGATCTTGGGGAATTGTCAATGCATGTAAATCAACTATGCAATACAGGATCCTATCTGATGATACGGATACATCTTTCTGCAACGCAACCCACTGTTTAAGTGTGCCGAGATAGTTTCCAATATGAGGCATGCCGGTTGGTTGAATCCCAGAGAATATCGATGGGGTAAAAGAGGTCTCTGAAGAACTATGCGAGGAATAGTTGCACTAAAGAATCATGAGCAGTTAGAGCAAGTTACTTTTCCAAGGGGAGTAATCGATCATATACAACATATTCTATCTTACCCTTCGCGTTAGACATAGTCTCTGATAAGAGATACGGTAGACTGATAGTGAAGTGGTGTGAAGTCCTCTAAAAAGAAACATCCCAACAGTATACGAGGTAAAATTTTCAGGCGGTCAGATTTAATAAACTTATATCATTGGTGAGAAATTTTTAGAAAATAAAGAGACACGAATGATTTGTTTTCTCTTTTAAGATAGATGGACGATTATTTCCAAAATGCAGATTGTTGTTTCGTCTTCCAGATTATGTTTCTATTTGAATTGACTACTCATTGTATTAATTAATAGTCTTCTTTACAATACTATAAGGCTTGGACTATGTCGTGTATGATCACGTGATATGGACACTTGCTGCACAAAGTGTCACCTGAATTCAAAATAAAAATGGCTGGAAAGTTATGATTAGTTTTAGTAGCACAGCTGTAAAATTATTATGGCACTCAAATTAATATGGAGCACAGAAAATAAGGGTCCAACTCGAAAACTCAAATTAATATTAATTGGTACTTAAATAGTGTTTATTAACATGGTATTGAGTAGTGTTTATAATAATGTCAGAAGTATGACTAATGGCCACAATACAATAGATCTTTACTATATTGACAAGCAAGATATTGTCAACGTGGATAATGTCAATATCCGTGAAGCGATACACGAAAGATATGACGGCGAGATAATTGTTTATCAAAGTGAGTTTCGTCAACATAATAATAAGGCTAAAATCCATTTCAATTTGGCACATTCGGCTATGTCAAGTTGGGCTGTAAATATTGATATGATATGTGTGATGGGAGGCAACCTGACGTTTGGCATTTGGTTTCGGACCCCAACATTTGCACAAAGTTCAAGACCCATTGCAAACGGGTGCCCGCCACCAAACGTATGGATAGAGGTAATTGTATTAATTTTTTTCTGAAAGAAACAATGTAAAGTTTTGCTTATTAGTTTGAATCCACTTAGGTTTTCTATGACAGAGATCCAGATCGTAGTCACGCTTTATCTAAATCAGCTTTATTCGGGAATACATGACCGATGCCGAATTGCTGGCCAACCCTTTTCCCCAGAACCAAAATCCAGGAATAACTACGACACTAGCAACTCCACTGGTTTATTATAGTATGAATTGGGATGAGCACCTCGACCTGAGATGTCGTTGGAGAATTGAATTTAATATTGTGCTTAATGTAATTTCTCAACCATAATTCATAGATGTATTTAATTAACCTCTAGACAAAGAGAAGCATTATTGCCACTAAAAATTAGGCCACAATAATGCAGAAATTGCAAAAGCTGTGGAATGTCATCGAACAACAGTTACAAGATGTGTTGCAGCTTATGAATTATGAGCTTTTAAAAAATGACCATTTGACTATGCTTTATGACAGCCATAAGACAAATATTGAAGGCTATGGTTCTCAAAAATTAAAATAAACAAAATTTTTTCTACTGAAATCAAAAACAAATATCTACAAAACCAATTTGCCAAGCACTTTATAAGAAAAATTTTGCATTTCTATAGAAAGAAGACATTGGACTGTGGAAGACTAGGGAAAAAAAGAATAATCTGGGAAGATGGGTCTATCAGTTTTGAAAGCCTGGTTGCAGTTGAGGAAGAATGTGATGAAAGTCAGAAAGAATTTATGAAGGTTAACAGTGAAACATTCTCCACAAAGGATGTATTATGCGAAAAATCGATATTTTTAAAACCAGCTTTTACAATCTGTAGCAGATTAATCAAAGCAATAGGCAAAAATCCGTTTGGCCAATATATAGGCAAATATGGTATAAAAATTACGTAGGCCGTTACATATTAATATTAACAATTTTATTAAATTTCAACCGTGCAATACTTTTGGTTACCCCCCCCCCCTGAAGTACATGGCTAATGAGGTTGGAAGACAGGACTGATAGACGCGATGGAAAATATTGGTATTCTAATGAAGAGAAAAGATATTGATGTGGTGTCCCCTTCTACTTTGTTATATATATTTATGGATTATGATTGAGAAATTACATTAAGCATAATATTGAATTCAATTCTCCAACGACATCTTAGGTCGAGGTGCTCGTTTCAATCCATTCTATAATAAATCAGACTGCTACCTCTATTCACGGTATATGGGGATCTAGGAGGAACTTCAAGTGAAGTTGCTAGTGTCGTAGTTATTCCTGGATTTTGGTTCTGGGGAAAAGGGTTGGCCGCGTGTGGGATAGCAATTCGGCATCGGCCAAAACAAAGCTAATTTTAGATAAAGCGCGACTACGATCTGGATCTCTGTCATAGAAAACCTAAGTGGATTCAAATCTAATAATCAAAACTCTACATATACATTGTTTCTTTCAGAAACTCACTTTGATAAATAAATCTTTCCCAATTATCTCGCCGTCATATCTTTCAATCGTGTATCGCTTTGCGGATATTGACATTATCTAGAAAGACTGACGTTGACAACATCTTCCTTTTGCTCTGGCGTCAATGCTTCCAATGGCATGTCAATATACGCAAAGATCTATTGTATTGTGGCCATTAGTCATACTTTCTGACATTATTATAAACACTACTCAATACCATGTTAATAAACACTATTTAAATGCCATATTAATTTGGGAGGCTTGTCTAGTCTCCCAGGACACCGTAGATGCTTCTGAACCTTCTAATTTGATGCTCATATTGAAAGATTGAAGAGAGATGGATTTGATGGATTCGGAAACAAGTGATAGAGAAAAAAATTGTATGGATCGCTTTTATACCCATATTTTTCTTATCACGGATTATCACGCAATCTTTCGATGTGAAAAATCTTAATAACTGTGACAGATTAAGACGAAATCGGATTAAACGAAATTTTCTCTATTTAATATGAAAATATATAATTTTTTGGGGGGCAATTATTTTTTTGGGGGGATTTAGGGTAACTTTTGTTAATAGAAGAGTATATTAACATGTGGGTTTCAGAGGCATTAAAAGAGGATACAAGAAGACCCCAAATTTCGTTTTAATCCGATTTTGTTTCAATAACTACGAAACTACGTGGGTGGTTCAAAAAGTTCTGTGATTACTAACCAGATTTTGCATCTGAACATTCTAGCAACCCTAAGCAGGTTGACAGGGCGATTGGACAGTTGCCGGTTTTGACACTAGTACTGGCAACTAGTATCACGGGATTAATTTTGATGATCCACCTTTCTGTCTCAATATACCTTTAAAATGGCACTTCCCCTAAAGCCTCGCCTGCTTAAACTTCAAGAGTTGACTTGCTCCCTTTTTAACACAGTCTACAATCCAACTTCCGCACATACTGGCAACAAAATCTTAAAACAGCGTCTTATTGGTCCGAGTATAGTCAATTGGTATCCGACGAAAATGATCAAACTGAAGAGAATAAGTGATATGTTTCCAGATTTTAACTTGGTTGATCAAGACGAGCAGCGTAGGTTAGATGATATTGCTAGAAGAAAAAGGAGAGGGAAGGGAGCACCGAAGAAGGGTAAGTTGACAGAGTTTTAGGCCTGGCAATAGACAAAAAAAAAGACAAGATATTTAAACTCGAAATGTCATCATTTTCAGGCCATGGAAGACGTGCTGTAGTCGCAGCTTCAAAGAAGAAATGAACGTGAGTTTTAACACGGACAAAATTATTAATTATGATGGCTGAAAGTACCATAGATTAATATTGGGTACTGTCACAGATATAATTTCTGGAAGATACCTTCCATCAATAGTAATAGTAGGCCCTAGTTTAAAAATGTCAAAGATTGGATAATCAAACAAGTTAAGATACTTTATCAGTTTAATAGTTTCAAGCTCCAATGTGTCCGTTTCTAATAGCGAAATAATTTATTTTTTTAGCGGGTTGGTGCTCTTTAATAATGGATTTCAAAAACACCACTAAAAACCATGAGATTTATTGTTAAATTATTTCGCGAATGTTTCCTTTGGTGGATGGACAATCAACAACCAAACCTCGCATAGTTTTCCCCTCTTATTCAACCAGACTTACTACCGATTCTCAATCATCGCCTGTATTAAGTAAGAGCTCTGCTTCATTACAAACACTTGGAGTTATCTATGAGTTTAGAATTGCGTTTCATGGTCACAAATTCTTTTTACTATGTTGGGAAAACATCAACATTCCAATAGTGCATTCTAAATGTGAAATCCATCTACGAAGCGAGATATACAAAATTTGTCCTTGATTGGTGTCAAATTATATTGTCTGAATTAGAGGCGATGTGTCGTATGGAATAAAATTACACGTAATAAACCATTTTCTCTGTCACAACTACAACAGATCCCCTCCCAACACGAGTTCGCTCCTATTCCTCTTTAACCGAAATTATGTGGCGATATACTGTGATAATCATATTGTATCTTATCCAATTCCGTGATCCTTTTTCTTGGCTCTTTGAAGTTCAGAAGGAGAAGGAGCCAAATCCAATCTATCAAAACGCCCCTCATCAAAAAATTTTGCAGTAACTGCCCGGCCACCAAAAAAACGACCGTTTAGATCACGCTTAGCTTTGACAGCAGCCTCTTGGCCGACAAATTTCACAAAAATTCTCACAGCCTCATCATCAGAAAGTTGACCATTTGGTACCTTTAACAAATATTCCGGTTGTTAATTAAAGCGTGGTGATAAAAAGTCGGCTCGTAATAACTTTACCTCAAAAATCAGGCAACGTTCGACAGTCCCGTATTTCTCATTACACTCGTCGGCTGTCTCTTCTTGCAGCGTATCGTCTACTTCACCCGGACCAACCTATAAACATTAATCAGTATCGTGCTCTTTTTTTCTTTTTCTTTTTTTATCCAATTTTGCATTTGCAAAGCAGAAACCATTATATGCTAAATACCATGTTTGTCAGTAATACAACTCTAGATGGCGCTTCTGTATCAGGCGGTGAGTTGATACGATCTGCAGTGTTTGCTTTCGTAGCCAACGAATCGCTAAAGCGTGCTTAGAGAATAGGTTGCAAAAACGGTTGCATGTGGTCATGCAATGTTAGTACGGAATTCGTATTAGACAATGACAAGAAGGAAATAAATACCTGTTGAATTTGTTGATACGTTTGATATTATGGCTGTTCTAGCATCAGTCTTTTGTACTATTAAAGGCTCGCTAATACCCTGCTCACTCTTTCCAAGGCCTGTAGGTTCAAATAAATATTATAAGCATTCATGTACATATGCCGGCTGGATGAAAAGCCTGTCTTTCCTAACCTTGTCCCTCCTGCCAGCCATACTTTGCCAGCATCCGCTGAGCAAATTCTTCGCCAGAACCAAGACCAGCAACACGCACCTCTGGCTGTGTCCTAAAAATAAAAAACGTTAATTAACGATAAAACACGACAAGCAATTAATGACCAAGCATAGTTACTTTAGAGTATTTTCAGTCACTGCTGGCTTACTACTCAAACGCGCGCGACGCAAATAAGCTTCTTCACCAGAAATATCAAGGTCAACCTTGGCCGGTGCGAGACGTGAAGCAGAGGTATCCTCGGCCAACTCGCTGGCTTTCGATGACGGCGGTGAATCCGCATACGATGAAGGTGGCGCAAAATGTACTGAAAAAGAAAATATGTAAATGATTTCAGTACCATTCCGAGGACATGGTAACGTTAAACCCAATAATTGCATATTTACTGGACGGAGAATGTTTATCACTCTCAGGACTATTAGACCGATGACGCTTTCTTTCTACATAACGCCGACTCAATTCTTCACGACGTCGCTTTTCGAGTTCCTTATATTCCTCATAATCATTCGGTCGCGTAGGATCATAATCATCTTCCATGCGCAAAGGGGTTTGCTTCTTTACGCCTTTATTAGCTTTTTTCTTTTAACGAATTTTCACACTGTGGTTGGTCTTAAATTGCGAGACAAATGATTTTCCTTTTGGATTGCGTAAACACTGTTAAATAACAACTCACTTTATCAAAACTGGTCCGCTGAACGCGAGGATTAGTCCAAGCTGGTTTAAACTCATTCACATCCTCCGAAGTACTAGGCTGCTTTGCTTGTGTAGCTGAAGCGCTACTATTTATGGTCGTTGCCAAGACTTTACTTTCAGCAGCAGAAGTGACAGAGCTGGCGACAGTGGTGGTGGAGGAGGCAACTGTGACTCTAGGAACAAGTCGTGGCTTTGCTTGCACCACAGGTTTTCGTTGAGGCATGAAACGTAGTGACGCAGACGCCCACCCGGCTGAATAATAGAGTTCCAATAACCAACGGTTTCATTCAGGCGAAATGACAGAAGTAAGTTGACTAATCTTTTTGCTTTTGATTGAGCTTTTTAACAACTTATCATAACATCCGAGCCACTCTTGTCGTCTCATTAAGCATTTTTTTTTCCAGGACAGCTTGTACCTGGGAGGGCAGATTGTTTAGTCTTCGGATTTGCTGACTGTATGTCTGAGACAGACTGTTTCTGCTGGTCTTCATCGGAGGCACCGTTCGAAGTTGTAGCGTGGGTGGGAGGTGGCAAGTCCCCATATAGAGACATCTTTACAGTAAGAGGCAACGAAGTGGGAAATAATCAACATTAAACGATTCAGTTAGGTTCGCTATGGGATTTACTGACATTTCTTTGATGACGTAATCAAGCATTGTTGGTACGACTGTAAATCGCATGTCGACATTCTTGACCCTGTAATTGGGATAAAGCCATCTATTTGATCGATCCAGGATCGGTCTCGGTTGTTTGCGTTGGTGATTATACGCGTTCAGCCCATCTTGAAGTCTTACCTTTAAACACCAAGGTTCTGTAAGTATGTAATAATAAGATACGCTTAAACTTGTTTAACTCTTGCAATATTGAGATTTCTCTGGCAAAAATTTTGTTCATTGCGACTCATTTTGACATATCAATTAATACCTTGGCGATAAGATCAAACAAACAAGTTAACTATATTACTGCTTATTTCTGTTATTAACGTTAATGGCATTATTTCCATAGATGATTACCATGAATGTAGTTTCCCACAAGAGTTTGCCTAATATTAAGTTGAATGCATACAGATCATTTTTATCACCTGGTTTACGCGTATAATTTATGCAGACTTATGCAAAATGAGTGGTAAAAATCAGTTTCCCCGACTGGTTGATGGGTATTGAACAGGTGCCCCATTGTCTGAACTGAGGATATTTCATTGGGTGAATGTGGTGATTGAATAATAAAAGTATCTAATACAAGAAAACGCTCATTCATTATGCATATATCCACAAACACGTGATGGAGTTTATTCACCTTGCAAACGATGTGTGTAAGTTAATAAGCTTTGACATTCGGACATTTGTTATTAGAATAATATTGCTAATTTATTACTGTTACAATTTCATATACCATAGACTTATTTATCTATGACCACAGTCAATTTCTATTATTTTTTTTTTACATCAACTGCTTCATCAACACCCTCCATAGTAATAGAGGGATTCATAAAAAAGTCCAATTTGAACATGGTTCATTAGCTAAAACTAAAATTACACACATATTAACACACTTGTCACTCTGCTCCTCTTTTTCTCCTACTCTCTTTGATTATTGTCTGACACGACACCTCGATTCTCCGCTAATATTAGAAATACATTAAATCATACGCTGGTCATTTCCGAGACCATTATGCCCTTTGCAACCCGCTCTTCATTCCATCGCTTGAGTCGCCTTGTCAAAAATGGCGGAACCAAACTCAATATTGACACCAATAACATCTTCAACAGTAAAACTGGTTGCCATATGTCGGCTGTGGAGGTAAGTTCTTGGAGAATATCACCTGCTTGACAGCATGCAAGGTTATATGGGATTGAGCCAAAGACCATTGAGAAGAAAAAAGGTGCCAGAGGAACGCAAAGTAGTGGTGAGGCGAGGTTAAGAAGCCTGAATTGAAATAGAGAAGAGACAGTTTAGTTATTATATGATATACAAATTTGCACGTGATTACACTTTTGAGTCAGTTTTAAAACAAAGTTGACAACCAATATCCTACGAAACTCTGCACGCAAGCTCTCACCCAACCTCTTCCCAAAAAAAAGAGTACTCACCACCAGGGCGACAGAGGAAACATCCTTATGAATACCAAATAATAAAATAGTCCATCTTTATTTTCCTCTACTTGCTTACGGAGGAAGGTGACTTTCTCCGGAAAATGCTGCTCAAAGATAGGCTCACCGACGAATTTACCAATCAAGTATGCAAAAGATGCGCCGATTCCAGTTAAGAGGGAAGTTAATAGAGTGGCAACGACTGGGCCGTATAGTGCTCCAGCGAGTATGTTCTGATTTGAAATTTAAGACGAATGTTAATTTTACCAAGTCTAAAAAGACAATCCGACTTTCACACTTGACACGCCGTTATCCCCAATTTCCCAGCCAACATACCAAAAATATAGCTCCTGGCACTGAGAACGCCTGCTTCCATACATAGATAACACTCAATACAAACACTATATGAGTCCATCCTTCCCAACTCCCATTTGAATAGTCCTCTAACGCCTCTGCTAGTATCTTTACTCGTTCTATTGTTGTAGGGAGTGATAAGTTGGGTATTGTTCGCAATAACAACACAATTCCAAAGAGTGTGATAGCCGCACAAGTAAGAAGAAATAGTATACGGGAGAGTATGGACACATGGGAGACTGGTAAACTATTGCGGCGTTTATGTGGTGGTGACGAAAAAGAGAGGTCTATGACAGAGTCGGTGGGTGAGGAGGGAAGAAGAAGCGGAGCAAGGGAAAGTGTTGGACTATGTAGTGTTATTTTAGCAGACATAATTCTTGGAAATAAGAGAATAAAAAAGAAATTGATATAATAATTATGGAGAGGGGTTGCAATAAAGAGTTGCAAATAGAAGAGGGATATTACAACGAGACGTTAAAATTCTAACTAAATTTACACTAGACGTTATATATATTTTTAGCTAATGATTTCAACAGCATCGGAGGAAAAAGGTATTTTGTCCTTAAATTGAAGATGGTCGGCAACCTCGCTCTTTCCTTTTATCGCTGCTGTTACAGTCGTTAGTTTTTCTTTCTCGTGGGACAAGGCAGACTGACGACAAAGTCTTTGGTGGAAGAGGGGCAACAGATGATATAGTCGAGGAAGGTAATACAAGGAATGGAACATCATTGTTACATCTAATGGAGAATGGAATTTCAAGTAAGAGTACACATGCTTATAAATTCATACATAATAGCCCATTCTCTTTTTCCTTTGTCCAAGGTCAAATGTAACCATGTTCGCTACCGGTTCATTGGTTGGTCCTTTTTTTTTCCGGTTACTTCGGGATTTAATGGAAAAATTATGCTCCTTCGGCCAAACAATAAAGGCATTATAACTGTATCAGCTATGTAATAATGAGGAATTGTTGCTATTATTGCATAGTTTGTGTTACATGCATGAATGCACGTAAATATACAATGTGTCACTTGTTACTAAAGAAGAGCTATTTTACCTGTCTCTTTTTTTTTTTTTTAAAAAAATTAAATCTCACTTTGACGGTCGGGCTGTGTGGTACTGCAGACTTTTTTTTTTCAGCACACGCTGATGTATTGTTTAAAGAAGTTCATATTAATATTAATACTCGTATTGTTTGGACAAGCATTAATGAACTACTTGACCAAAAGTCAACGGGCCGAATGGGCAAACATCAATCCAGCAAATGTTAAGGAACCCTGTACAACATCAAATTGCCAGAAACATTTGTAAGCCTCGAAAAAACGCCCCTTGAACGGTTTAGGATTTTGTCTTCCATATTAATATTAACACATTTGTAATCTTGCGCATCTTGATAGACTCGAGCCTGTTTACAATGAAATGTAGCAAACTTACCATTAAAGACTAGTTTGGTGAATTTTTTGTCTAGGAGACTTTCGAAAAGTCTACTGATTTCATTGTGATAACCATTTATTTGTCACACGTGAATTAAGTTATTTGAGTGCGCTAATTTCTACCTGTCAGAAGCAGGATTGTGGCAAGGTTTTTTTCTCAGCTAGGAGGCACGAGCTTTTACAACGAGAATTGGTTCAAAGTAAAAAAAGCCAGACTATTTTCTTGTCCAACATACTCAAAATAGTTGGTTGCTGTGCATCATCGCATCCAAACATCCAACCAAAATAGAATCCCGCTCTTCTTCGAGGCTATGGCTTTGCCGGTATCACAAAAGATGATAACAGCTTGAAAACCGGTTATCAAAGTCTAATCAAGAAAGTAAAGATATCAATACTAATAAAATGCATACTTTTGATGTACCGTATAACCGCGGAAACTCGGTAACCAAAACGTTTCAGAACAGTTACTGGATTACCGAGAACAGAAAGTGAAAAGTAATATATCGATATGAGCATTAATGCGAGTTTAAGAATCGTCATTTCCATCGTTAACACCTTGACCAATTATCGATGGACGCAAACTTTGCATGTACAAAACTACAGTAGTGTCAAAATGTCGACTTAAACATTTCTTATCAAAGTTGTTAATCTATGGCAACCCGAAAAAGGTAGTCGATCTTCTGGTGCAGTGCATTACATAACGACATCCTGTTATAGTAAATCATTTTGTCAAAAAAAAAAAAAAACCACCAACTCCCGACATCACCTGTTTCTCCAAATTAGTATCCATCAACCTCTTGATTTTCACCACTGTTTAGACGGAGAATATCCTATATTCATAAGTGTGCCCGTTTCGGTATAACTAAGCATAGAAACCAATCATTCTGTCAATAATCTAATAATAGCAGCACACTACTTACATGTTTATACTCGTGTGACTAACCAGGGGGCTATTATGCACAAACCTACGTGCAATGGCTGTGTGATCAAGATGCTAAAGATATGACCGATGAGAAAAATAGTCGAAAATTGTGAGATATGCATGTTATGGAGAATAAAAGTCACCTGCATATATCCACAATAACAGGGATCAAGCAATGATCGATATACTGTATGTATATCATTTTTTATTTTTCCAACACGTTAAAAATAAGAAACACTTCATATGATAACAGAGTAATCACATTGATTCTCGGAAAAACTACTCGTCAACAGTTCCAAGAGATAGGCCTATACGAAAGAAATAGCAACTCCAATGGAAATAACGAACCAAAGGCAACGCCGATATAAACAATTGTTTGAATTCCGGACTATCTGTAACTTTTGAGGTTTTCTACATGTTCCTGAATGTCAAGATTTACAAGTGAGCCAGGTTGCCATAGATAATAATTCTTTTATACACATCTGTCATTTTGTGCTTTTGATTCGAGTAAGAACACTTTATCGTCGCAAACAAACATTCCATTATCAATCTTTAGTTCTTATACATTGTTCGACTAGGAAATATTTGTACAGGTGACTTGAATCTTTCGTTGACAACCACGTCTGGTTCTAAGTCAACAGTACCCTTACTGCTAAGGTAAAGCGGGGGAAAAAAAGATCTTGATTTTATAGGACGAGAACAAGAAATCCATTCGATAAACTTTGTACTTTCGTATTGCCAGGACCGTATGGTCGGTGGGACAGACATTTGCGACAAACGTCAAATCGGGCCAATTTTGATTTATATTTAAACAATAGTAGTCTGTAGTAAACGATATCTTACGATCAGCTAATCTTCAACATGATCTTTATCTTATAAATTGGATTCCGTTCTCTTAATACCTGTACTCTTATTATTTATGTAATAAACGACATACATATTGGTCATTAATCATCCATGGCTACTTCAGCGATTCTGCAGTCGTAAACCGCGGGTTTCTAATGAACGCGTTTATTATCCCCGATGTATCCTACGAACGATCGAAACTAAATCCCATTACCGATAAAGGGTAGTAGTAGAGGCATAGCATAATTGACAGTCGAAAATCCGCGTTATACCGATCGATCATTGCGAGTATAATTAAAGACAATTTTAAGGTCACTAACTATATTAGCGATTTACACAAGAGTAGATAGAGGTTGACCAAGCCTCAATTGAAAGAGCTAAATCCCAAGGCCAATTACTGAACGCTCTCCCGCAGTAGTTGGCTCGACACTATATTGATTTGTTGCCTTGAAAAAATTTTTGACTTTTTTATTATGTCTTTTCAACCTCTATTTTTTTTTGCTCACTTTGCACAACAAGAAAGTACTGTATGACAAATTGTTACTGTGATGAATAATCTCCCCTTCCTACAGGTTAAGGCAATACGACAGGAAAAGTCAAAGAGCCGACCCTCAAATTTGTTTATTCTCAGCTAGTTTCGGTGTGTTCGAAGTGTTAGATTCCTTTGATTCTTTATTTTTATATAATATTACTGTTTATAAACGGGTATTTCATTTATTCAATGAACATATATGTTTGATATCTCATTCTCTGAATTATTCGATATAACCGTTGGAACCATTAATTCCTATATCGGAAAAGAATAATCGCCTCTTGTCCCGCGATAGAGAATCGAGGACAGATCGACACTAAGAGTCGTGAGCAGGAAAGTCTAGTTTAAAGGTCACTAGGAAAACCGTATAACTGCGGAATTGTCTGCTATCAAAAGATCACGGCGAAACTCAAGCGCTAATACCGAATTGCTACAAAAAATCAACGATCTTGACCGCAATATAACTCTAATGGGCTATGAAATTCGCGACATCAAAATGGTGTTGGCAGTCGCGACAGTAATTCTGGTTCTCGACGGTCCGGGCCTAACAGAACGCCTCAAAATTATACTGGCGATGTTCAAACTCTCTGGCAAGATTTCGATCAAAGACAAACGTCGACTAGAGAAACGAACCGAGTCATCAATGAAATAAGGGAGCTGGGCCAGCGTCTTGAAGATGCGACTATCCGGAAATTTCACAAGCGTTTAACCCGTAATCCCGCTGATGAAACCATAGAATTTATTAGGCTATGGGTTGATAATGAGCGAGAATTAGATACAGAGGTAGAAGAGGAGGAAAATAGTGATAGCTCTGGACCTAGCGGGACGAGAGAATAGGGGTAGTCGTCGCCTTCGGGCAAGCTTTGGAGCTCCCTCCCATGCAGTCTCGCTATGGTCCAAGTTTTTTATATTGTATTAGACGGACCTCTTTCGAGGCATCAGGCAAACAAATGTATATAACTACTGCACCATATTAATTCGTGTTCTTTTACTTTTATTATATTTGTAGAAAATAAAATTTTGGTTAACTGTATAAAACATTCTTTACTGTGCATCCTGTTGAACGTCATCACAAAATTGATCGCGCGATATGGATATTATAAATTGAGAATATGTGAGATGCTAGTCTGACGCATCTAATCGATATATATCCTGTGTCATAATGAGTGCGATCTCGATTTTCCCCCCACGCTCTATGATTTTACCATCGGATCGAAAATGGCTTCGTTACTTGGTTTCGTTGTGAGGTTTTCTCGTTCTGCATCATACACACTCCGACAAAGAGTCCTAGTCTCACCTACTTGCATATTATTTCCCCCCGCTCAGATGTCTCAAAAAAGAGTCACGACAGCTAATCCAAAGATCTTATCCAGTGATGAGTTAAACCCAGTCTATATTAATCCCTCAGCATCCCTGTTTAAAAACCAAGATCTTGCTATATTAAAAACGAGTTTCCAACCCGCTATATGTGATAATGAAATCATTCCCGCAATTGACGGTAAGTATTTTGTGTTAGACTTTCTCCTAGAGAACTCGGATTAACAATTTTTAAATATGTAGTCGCCGACTTTCCGAGCCAATACCTTGTTCCCGAAATCAACAGTGACGTACTCGAAAAGCGAGATTTCAATGTTCGCAAGCTTGATAAAATCTCAGATAGACACGTCAAAGCATTCCTCTACAAACTGCATGCTGTCGTCAAGAATGCAGGTCTCGATATAGGCACAGGTGAAACTATTACTGACTCAATGGTAAACCATCTGTTGCTCCGAACACTCGATCTGGATTCATGGCCCTTGATTGTCAAGTGAGTAACGATGTGAATTGTCTTGAATTTATGGTGCACTCCAATGGTTTCTTAAATTTTTGCACTACATTCAAACCCAGAAATAAACCACACTGTGAATTAATAATTGGTGACGTGTCAGTTTCAGCAGGTAATTAATATTGAAAATTCCTCTTTAGTGGTTATTATTATAGAGGTCTGTATGTTTCAATTGTTTGACAAATCAAATTATTGTTTGCTCAATGACCTTTTTTACAAAAATAGGATAAACAACTGAAAAATAAAAAAAATCAGCAAATCGAATGGTTTTGGAGAAGCACAACTTGCTGCCAAAATGCTCTCCCTTGGGGATGAAAATAATCGTCTCGCTGAGGAACATAGAAATCAAACTATATTTGGTGTTCGTATCATCTCTACATATGTTACACTTTACAAGACTGTAATATCTGCAGCATATTGGGAGGAGCTTGGCAGAGGTTTACCAGTAGATCAGTCAGTTGTGATTAAAAGGTGGCCAGGAGCAAATGGGTTGAGAACTGGTTTCAATCTTGCAGAGCCAGATGGAAGGCAAGCAGTGCTGACAGCATTGGTCAAAATTCACCAATCTCTCCTGCAGTAGATGAAAAGTAGTCATAAAAGCATGGTAAGGTTAGTTGAACCTAATTTCGAAAAGCTATCCCCTATTCAAGATAATAATTATAGAGAGCCAGTTTCTGAGGTACCCTGATTCAGATAGTGAGGAAGAGACATTGGATGATCCTATGGAGATAGACTTTGTTAAAAAGAAAGAGCTATTACAACTATACCAGTTAAAATCAAATGCTTAAAAATTCCAGCAATGGTAGTCATTGGACATTTCACAAAATTATTGACCAGTCACCTTTTCTGAAATTCCGCATCAATCATGTCTGAAGTCACATATTAATATGCACATATGAAATTTAGGGGGTTGAATTTTTCCACATAATCAAGGTACAGAATGTCACAATTAAACACCTGATACAGTTGTAACAAAAATTTTGCTTTTTCGAACAACTTTTCTCCTGCAACAAAATAAATGGGTTTTTAGCAGGAATTTGTTGACAAAGTTTCACCTGGCAAAATATGATAGTATTTAATAAGAGAAGAACCACTGTGTATGTAAGATTTTTTTATGCCATGTCATAATGCCTCAAAAAGTCTATTCAAAATCTTCATCTGTTTGCCATTCCACAGCAATCGTGTAACACAAATATAATCTGTTAGTGGGTCAATTAAAATTTTGTCATTGAGAAAGACAGCCTCAAGGATACAGATTGAAGGACCTGCAATGCTAAGGACAATTGGTACATTTTCAGATTCTTTTGTTTACTATAATAATAATATATTGGTAATAATAATACAGAACTAAATAAATCTGCATATAGTAATAGTATTTAGAACAAATTAAACTGAAAATTTACATCAGCAGAACAATATTTAGCATATGCTAGAATGGCAGGATCTTTTCCACCTGTACCTGTCCCTATTTCGTTTTTACATTCTGCAATGATTAAAGCAGCCTTTTCTTTGAGTTTATGAAGTTTTTCAGTTAATGCTGAGTCAAGTCTGGCATTTTGAATTTCAATGGCAATTAAAGAGCCAAATATATCTTTGGTAGATTCATTCAATGCTGCACCTTTTACCTTTAATAATGTTCTCCATGCTTCTGGATATTACTTTATCAATTGCTAGCTCTTCGTTTGTGAAGTCATCAAGAAAATCTTTGTTATAAAGAATGATGGGCAGGCTGATGCAACCATACAGTCGGCCATTGAGTATGATGTTATGTTTCTGTTGGTACTTTTAAATTCAACATGCATATGTGATGCTACTGGTGAATTATTCTCTCCTCCAAGATTTTTCTGTGCCTTGTCGGATCGCCACACGTGGGAGAGCGTTCGTGTAACGACCTTGGGATTTAGTCGTCTTCCGCCGGAACTCTTAGGCTCGTTCCTACTATCGCTAAATCGCTATCCAATTAGTGACTTAAATAAGATTTATCAATACTCA